TTTCTGCACAAGTGCCACGGTAAGAATGAGATGGTAAATTAGCCAGAGACAAAAGCCCAGCAGCAGCGCCAGCAGCACATCAACAGTGTAGTGATTGTAGCAGAGAGGAATGGCCACCCAGAGGGCGACGGAGAAGCTGTAGCAGCAGTAGCGCAGCAGCGGCAGCTGCAGCAGCAGCAGCAGCAGGGTGCGCAGCCTGCTGCGGGGCCCGCTGCGGCGGCGGCGCGGCCGCGGCGGGGCGCCTGCGGGGGCGCCAGCAGCAGCAGCAGCAGCAGCGGCGGCGGCGGCCGTGGCGTCTGGGGGCAGCTGCTGCGGGCAGAAGCAGCGGGCTGCTGCTGTTGCTGCTGCGCTGCTGCAGCCGTCCTTGCGGAGCCGGAGCCAGGTCCTTGCGAAGAGGAAGCACTGGTGGAGGAAGCAGCCGGCGAGGGGCGTTGCTGCTGCTGCTGCTGCTGCGCCGCAGCGGACGTCGCTGCAGCAGGCGCCGCAGCAGGCGCAGCAGCTGCAGCAGCGGCGCCGCCGCGCACCCCCCCCGCTGCTGCTGCTGCTGCTGCAGCGGCCGTAAAAAGCCCAAGACATGCAGCAGTGCAGCAAATTCAAAGAGTGGCCAGAAATGATCATTCCTGCACACTCCACATTCTGGCCAAGACTTTGCTTCAGAACTTCTCTGAAGAAGTCTGTGGGGCCCCGCGGGCGCCGCGGGCAGCAGCCAGGCCTAGCAGCAGGAACTGTTGTAACAAAAATGGCAGCAGCACGAATCCAGAAGCCAGCAGCAATGAGGCAGCAGCAGCGGCTGAGGACCTGCAGGTTGTGGGGAAAGGGCAGCAGCAGCAGGTGCCGCAGCAGCGTGCTGAACACGCAGCAAAACGTGCACAGGTCCACTGCAGCAGCAAGCCACGCAGGTGCAGCACGCCGCTGCAGCAGCTCGTCGTGCAGCCGGTCCCGCAGCGGCGGCTGCAGCAAAGGATCATAAAAAGAGTCTGCTGCTATGGAGACCATGCTGATGCACACAATCGTCAGCAGCAGGAACAGCAGCGTCAGCAGCAGCCGCAGCAGCTGCCGCCGCCACCCGCACCCGCTCGCCCAGATCCCCAGCCACTCCATCGCAGCAGCAGCAGCAGCAGCAGCAGCAGCAGCAGCAGCGGCAGCGGGGGCGCTGCGGGGAAGCTCTTCGCAACGGCTGCGCACTTCTGCTGCTGCGCTGCTGCTGCAGCACTCGCGCTTCACTCCCGCATGCAGCGCTCGGCCGTCGCCCACCCGCCCTCGCCGCTAAACGGAACAGCAGATCCTCCTCAACCTGCTGCTGCTGCTGCTGCTCCTGCTGCTGCTGCCCGGGCCCCCGCTGCTGCTCCTGCTGCTTCCGCTGCTGCTGCGCAGGCTGCTGCTGCGCAGGCTGCTGCTGCGCAAGCTGCAGATCACGATACCGCTACTGCGCGCGCCGCCCGGGGTGAGGCCCCCGCTGCTGCCGCCGCTGCTACTGCCGCTGCTGCTGCTGCTGCTGCTGCTGCAGTTGGCGCTGCTGCTGCGGCCCCCGCTGCTGCTCTACCTCTGGAGGCCCGTGATAAGTGGACTTGGGCGGAAAGCTGAATGGCCCCGAAGGCTGAAGACAGGGCAGGAAGCTGCTGCACAGACTGGGGTGTCTGCGCAGACACTCCGCGGCTTCATCCCAGCGCGACTTTGCGTAAAATTCAAATTAATAAAACTTGAAGTTTTAGCTGGAGGTCTGTGAGCAGCAGAGGCAGCAGCGCAGCGGCCAGCCGCTGCAGCTCGAAGCGCGCGCTGCAGAGGAGCAGCTTGCTGCTGCTGCTGCTGCAGCAAATGCAGCAGCGCGAAGCCTCGGAATGCAACTTCTTCTTTAAATTTAAAACGCAAGAGCAGACGACTTCGCCGCCGCCGCCCCTTCGCTCTCGCCTCCAGAAACGAACGGCAGCAAGCCACTGCTGCTGCTCGTTTTGTCTTCTTTTCCGGAACTGCTGCTACAAGTTTTTCCCTTTAAAGTTCCATCTTTTCCGAATTGTTTGCAGACAAAAAAAGCAGCAACAAATTGTCCAAAAGCCCGCAACCCGCCGAAGCAGCAGGCTCGTAGCCACATGCACGAGCACAGCAGTTCAGCAGCAGCAGCAAAGGGCTGCTGCTGCTGCTCCTGCGCGCTATTCCCCGCGAAATTCGTTGAATCCAAGGCCTTAAATGGTACTTTTTGCAAATTAAATTGATTTGAACGGCTTAATTCCAAAGATTAAAGAAGAAACTGGCAGACAAACCGGCGCGCCGCGAGCGGATCCGCATATGAGACGCCGCAGCCGCAACCGAACTTAAACTGCGAAATTTCTGCTGCAACTTCCCCACTAACTCCAAACTCCGCCATTTTAAAAGAATATTTGAAGTCTTTTTTGCTTCTTTGAAGTCCCCGCGGCCCTCCGGGCTCTCCAGAGCTCTCCCGGGAGCTGCTCCAAAGTTCAGCCTGCAGCTGCAGCAGCTGCAGCAGCAGCACCAGCAGCAGCAGCGCAGCTGCTCTGGGACCCACAGCCACGGTGGAAGCAGCAAACTGCTGCTGTTCCATCTGATTTAGTGGCAAAGAAAGGGACTGGAGGCCCCCATGGAGAGGATCTCTCCTCCCTAACCAAAATAGATAAAGTTGAATTTGGTCTTTTAGCTGCTGTTTCTGCTGCTGCACAAAGACACCCGAAAAAAACTTTAATGGCAACAGGAGGTAGCTGCTGCTGCTGCTCGAAGTGATTTGCTGCTGCTCTCTGAAGTCCAAACCCCAGCTGCAGAAAGCTGCAACTTTGCTGCCGAAGAGCTGCTGCGCTGTAGCTCAAGCAGCTGCTGCCAGCTCCGCAGCTGCTGCTGTGTGCGGCTGCTGCACCTGGCTGCAGCAAAAGCAGTTGAGCTGTGGGGCCTCTCAGAACGCCCCAGATCTTATTTGCTGCCGCCAGGCGAGAAGCAGCAGCAGCAGCAGCAGCAGCGCGGCAGCCACTCTGCATTCTTGCAGCGCAGCCACAACACTCTGCTGCGGGTCTCCAGGCAACAGAAACTGTAGCTGCAGCAGTTGCAAGAGCGCGGCGGCGGCTCCGCTGCTGCTGCTGCTGCTGCTGCTGCTGCTGTTGCGTTGGCCTGGGCTGCGGGGCCGGCGCTTAGACTTAGACCCTAAACCCTCGCAAATAGCTGCGGGCCAAGGGCTTTCTACGTTTGTTTTAGCATTAAACGTAAACCCTCAGAAAGCTCTAAACCCTAAACCCTAAACCCTAATGCCTGCACCCGACACAGGTGCTAAGCGAGCCAACGGGCCACTGAAACAACGGCAAGTAACTTTGCTTTTCAGCAGCAGCAGCAGCAGCAGCAGCAGCAACAGCAACAACAGCAGCGCATGCATTCGGGATGAGGCAGCACAAAAAGGCCGGCAGAAAAGGACGACAAGGAAGAAGCGCAGCTGATGCTTTTGCTTCTGCCTCCGCAGCCTTTGCTGCTGCTGTTGCTGCTGCTGCTGCTGCTGCAGAGTGTTCATCTCGAGCAGCAGTAGTGGGTGTCATTTTATGAAGTATAATTAATTTCAAATAAGTCAATAATTCCAGAAGCAGCTAATTAGAAAAGCCCCGTAGATTGTTTTTAGAATTGTTCAGATTATCAGAAAAAAAGCAAAATTTGTTTTTTAGTTTTATTTTCTTTATTTTTTCTCTTCTTTTCTTCTGTGGCTTTTCAGTGCTGCTGCTCAAGCTGCCCCGAAACTGCTGCATCAAGCCCGAACCCTAAACCCTAGTTACCAAACCCTAATTCTAGGGTTTAGGGTTTTGTATGAGCTTGCAAAACTGCGAAATTGCTGCACTCGTGGCCTTGGCTGCTACAACAGCTTGCTTACCTAGCGTGGCCCCTGCTTTTTAATGACTGTTTTGGGTTTAGGGCTTAGGGTTTAGGGTTTAGGGTTTAGGGTTTAGAGCCCCAGCAGCCGGTGCTCCTGCCCCTGCAAGAGTTCACATAAGGGATTTTCCGCTTTTAAGAAAAGCAAATAAATTCAAGATTTAGCAAACGAGGCAAAGAAGACCTAGTCTTATTTTTCCTATTTAGAAATAAATTCAATTTTTTTGAACTGCAAACAAATCATTTTCTTTTTAATTTCTCTTTTTGAATCTGAGACACTTTTGCTGCAGAGCAATTCTTGCTGCAGAAACTTAATCTGCTGCGCAGCAAGAAATGGCTTCGAGAGTGTCTATTAGTACAATACACAGACTATTGAAATGGCACCCTAGTAACAATATTGGGGGAAAGCACCATCAAATGTGCCTCAAAGTGTGATAATAACATTAGTAAATATGTTTTTAATAATAATTACTGACTAAAAGTCTAATTAGACTGCAGTAACGGTGTAATTCGAAGAAAAGAAGAACATGCCTGCAGCTTTGCGCCGACAGCGCATGCAGCCCCAACTTCCTGCTGCTTTCTTCTGCTGCTGCAGCTGTTTGACGTTGGCGAGTTGAAAAAGAGGAATTAAAAGAATTTAAATGAAATTTAATTGAATTTGGAAAATAAAACTAAAAAGTTCGCAAGAAGAGGAGAGCTAGCCGGGCCTGCGCGCCCCCGCCCGGCGCTCTTTCGGGCTGGTTTCCTTCTATCTGTTCAAGTCTGGAGTTCAAACAAAAAGGAAATGCGCAAATAAAAGAATTAATTATTAATTTTGAACTATTTTCTTTTTAAAAGAAGTCTCTCGCGTTTCGGGAGCCGCGAAAATGAGCGCCGGAATGATGTTCTGCCCTGAATGGTGAGCCGGGCGCGCGATCTGCCGCTTAAAATTCAAATTCAGCATTTAAAAACCCTTCTAATTGAATTTAAATGCCTAATTCAACATATGCATGCAAAGAAAGCCCCAAATTTGCTCAGCAAAAGAGAAAACAGCCCGCAAGCCCGCACAGCAGATTCATCTTTTCAAGTTTTGCACTGCCGCAGACCCCCCCCCTGCTCTCCTTCCCTCTTTAAACCTTTTCGTTGTTCCAGTTCATTCAATTCATTCGTTCTTTCTTGTTTGCTGCTGCTGCTTTTGCTGCTGCTGCTGTTGTGCTGCTGCAGCAACAACATGTTGCAGCCGAAGGAAGACCGCCAGCGGCAGCAGCTGAAGTTCCTGTGTCGCCGCTGCGACTTCTTCAGATACGCCGAAGGCACTTTTGAAGAAAATTGCGTCGAAAGAATTAACTTCAGCTACAAGTCCAAGTGAGTTGCTGCACTTTTGCTTTTGCAATTCAACAATGCGCTCATTTCAGTGCAAACAACGCAGTAAACACCTGCTGCTGCTGCTGCTGCTGTTGCTGCTGCTGCTGCGAGGCGTTTGCTTCGCATGAATTCCGCGCTTTTTGAATTTAATTTTGAACCAATTGATTGGAAGCAATTAATTTAAAGTTTGCCGATTTACAATTCAACATTTAAGCGGTGAATGGGGAAGAAAGGCGAAAGCCTCGCGAGTGCTGGGAATTTCAATTTGGTGCTTTTTTCCTTGAAAGCTGTCTAAATTTCGAATTCAAAAGGCAAACTATATTCAAAATGAGTGTATTTTTCATAATTGAATAAAATTTGAGACTTTTGAAGTCCCTAGTGGCCCCATTTTGGACATATCCGGAAAATTCAACTTTTTTCAGCGGCAAATGAGCAGGCGCAGCAGCAGCAGCTTGTGAACTTCCGAAAGCAGCTGATCTTTGCTGTTTTTTGAACTTTTTTGCGTCTTTTTGTTTCATTCGAATTATTTATTCAATTTTATATTTATTTGCTCTGTTTTCCGCGTTAACGGGGGCCCTTTATTTCTCGTTTCCGGATTTTGTGGCCCCGGTGTCCGTCGGCAGTTGGTGGTTTCTCGCGGCTGTAAGCTTGATTTTCTGCGTTTTTTCGCGGCTCCTTCTTCGCCGCTGCTGCTGCTGCCGCTGCTGCTGCTGCTGCTGCTGCTGCTGGGCGCAGAGAAGACCTGATGGTGTGTCCGGAGCTGCCGCAAGACCCGACGCTGGGCCGCGTGCTGGACTGGCGCTGCCCGCAGTGCTGCGCCCGCGGCGCTGTCTTCTTCCAACTCCCCGAACGCCTCGCCGAAGACGCCATGACTCTCGTCTACGTCTGCGCGAGTCCGGGCTGCGGGGCGGCGGTGAAGCAGGACGCGGCGGCGCGCGAGGACCGGGGTCCGGCGAGGGTTTAGGGTTTAGGGTTTAGGGTTTAGGGTTTGGGGGTTGGGGGTTGGGGGTCCGCGCGGCCGACGCGATATCCGGGGCTTCCCGGATGGGCGGAGGCTTCGGGCGTGCGCGTTCGGGCGCAGGGGTTGGGGGTTTCGGGTTTAGGGTTTAGGGTTTAGGGTTTAGGGTTTAGGCTTTGGGGTTTGGAGGCGGTTCGGGGCGTGTTGAGCGGGTTCTTTCGACGCAGTGGGCGCAGCAAGTGCATTTCCTTTGGTGTATTTCGATGAGTTTTGAAGTATTTTCAAGTATTTTGAATTTTTTCCAATTATTTTGAATTATTTTTGCAGAAGAAAGTCCAGAAAGTGCAGAACGGCTGCAGCCGGCGGCTGCGGCGAAGTCGCCGCCGCCGGAGGACGCGGGGGAGCCCCACGAGGCGGACGGCGTGAAGGGCATTGGTGGGTTTAAAACTGCGGAATTGATCATTTAAATGATTAAAAATTGAATTAATTGATCAAATTTTGAATTTATTTTCCATTTTTAATGCCACTTCCGCCTTTCTAACTCCAATTCCGCGCGCCAGCGAGCGAATCCCGCGCCGGTGACCCTCCGCGCCGCGCCGCGCCCCAAACCCTAAACCCTAAACCCTAAACCCTAAACCCTGCGTGCGCGCGCAGACGAGGGCGAGGTGGACTCGGAGGGCGACGGGGACCTCTTCGGAGAAGAAAGGGGTTTTGGGTTGCCCCAGGACCTCGAAGAAGATCTGCTGCAGCAAAACGCCTTTGATGCTGCAGCAGCAGAAAATGAACTTGAAAAAGAAATTGCTCTCCAAGACACAGACCCCGACCAAAGCTTCGCATTCGCCAGGGTCTAACTGCCCCTAGGGGCCCCACAGCTCGCGGGGCCCCCCCGCAGCTGCCTGGGGGGCCCTCGGTTATGCAACCAGCAAAATGTGCTATTGGGATCCGAGCACGCTATTTTCCGGATGCCAGCATGTTAAATTTGTGTTAAGAGCTTCATCTGTGGCCTAATAGTGTCAGTTTAGAGCCTGTTGTCCATTGGCTGTGGCGTGTTGTGGAACCGCTCAAAGCCGGGCATATAGATAAGCAAAAATTACGAAGACACTTGTCTGCAG